AAATGAAAGCTTTGAATCACAGTAATGAAGGGTGTACTGATATTTGTTGCATTGAGTTCCTGCTGGATGGCCTGTATATTTATACAGTAAATCTAAACTGCTACCTTTAGTGTTACACAACTCAATACCCCACTGTTCAACTTAGAAGTAATACAATTACTGTAAGGTGATACCATTTGGAGTCATTTGACGTTAAGTGATAATGTACAGAAGGGTGCTGACTTCTGTTGTATACTTTACATCTCAGGATCGGCTCTTGTTTACTGACAAAGACGGCTTTTGTCTTCTCTTGTCACTCTTTATACAATGACCTAAAACTACTATGAACAAGATATCAAGGAATACATACAGTGTGTTTTTTATATGATTTATTTTTAGCTGTAGATATAACAGAATTCATCAAATATAAAGTTAGACTTTGAATTTACCAGTTTTTACAGTGTGTGTGTGCAAAATATTTTAGTTGTGATTGAGTTTGAATGTTAAAAAATGCCTGTAACCAACTGTAGAAAACAGTTATACAGTTACAGTTATACATCAGTGTTATGTTCCCAGAGCGCTTTCATTGCCCTCAAGTGGCAGAGGAATCAGCTAATATCACTTTAAGGTTCACTCAGTCAGGTGAGAATGTAACAGTTTAACCTGGATTTTGAACTAACCAAAGGCCCAGTGTGCCCTCTGGAGGTTTGTTCCTGCTCTCAAGCACGTCTGTTGTTTATTTTCATAAATATAGATCCTAGAAAATATAGACCTGCCTTCTGCCTGTATCTTCGGTCTGTCTCTGCGAGATCCCTGATGATGTGATCTTCTGATGTGTTGGCTGGATGTTGAAATTCCCCTTTGCCTTTTGCAGAAGCAGAGAGCGGAGTTTACAATGTGGTGAGGAAGAGATGGATGGAGGAGCTTGGAGCTGAGACAGTTTATGTAAAACGCAAACACAGACATTCTTTATACTTTTCTCTGTAAATTTCCACAGCGAGTGTCATCTCCAGCAGCAACAGGCCTCTTTTAGCCACCAGTTTTTATCTGATTCAGTTAGCGCAGTCCTGTTATCTCACATTGTGAGAAATTACAAAGTGGCTCGAAACTCTAAACGGGCTCAATCACATCGCAACATGGAGAGAAGCCATTTAATTTTAATATCGTTTTCTGATTCACTGATTATTTACTCACAGTTGTGATATCACTTTCGTTTCTGCCCTACAGTCAGTCACCTAATTTTGGAGTCATATTTTTATAATCTTTGCCTGAAGATACAGAGAAGTTAACTGTGCCAGACGCCAAACTATTTTTATCTCTGAACGTCCCCGTTTCAAGAACGTTCGTTGTGCACATTGTTTCTGTTTTGGAACCGTTTCTGGATCGTGCGATGGTTAATAGCGGTGGATGTTTGACATTCGTTGAACTGGAAAGCAACAAACATGATGAGCGACTGGGTTTATTTCATGTGCACAAACCTATTTAAATCGAAGGTACAGCGATTTTATGTCTGTAGTAATGGTCTGTGATATTTTAATGGTTCCTTTGGTTTTCTCAAGGTCAGATGGCTGAGTTGCCTTGTTATGCTCTCCTGACTGCATTGTTTAGACAGACTTTGGCTGTTTATGAGGACGCACACATGGATACATGAGGGGGAAAAGGCCTGAAGGATGCCTGGAGCTTCTCAAAGTTGTAGTAAGACAGATTCTCCTTAACTAGCATGAAATACTACTTTCAGGTATTAATGGGGTTGTCTGAATTTGGAAAGTGTTTCTGAAGCATTTTGTGGATTCATTTGTTAGTTGATCTACAAAAAATAACTGACAGATGTTCAACCTGTCAAGAAAAAGTTCCATTTTCAGGATCCAGCTTCTTTTTTGGAGGCTACATAATCAGTGGTTTTATACAAACTGAATTAATACACAAATAATAGGAATATTTAGAATCACAGTCAGTTGCAACTTTTCTGAAAAGAATATCACCTTAAAGCAGCTATAGTTGTTAAATGTGTCATAGTACAAGAGCATTTTCACCCAAATCTGCAGCTCCTCTTGACTCCACAAAGTGAGTTTCATCCGTCCAGCTTCACTCTCTCGCATAATGCTGGTCACATGACACATCGAAAAAGCTGTAAAACCAGAGCTAATTGACAAATGGTCACAAGCACGACTCCAAATGGATGATAGCATTGTTTCTCAACTCAAGGATGAGTGAATAAGCAAGTGTTTGCTAAAAAAAAAAAGTTCCCATAACAACTTAAAAGCTAAAGATGTGCCAAAGCTCTGTGCTCAACTTGTCTCCGCTGCCCCCAAGTGCTCAAAAATATCTTTAAGTTTAAAGGACAAACCGAACAGAGAGGTGATGTTTTTATGCTTCTTTTTGAATTCCTGTGTTGTTTTTGTTTGTTTTTTTTATCCTCCAGACTTTTAACAATGCAACATTCTACATGATATTATATTTAGCTCCTTTAGTCTGATTTTGGACTTGTACCAAAAAGCCAGTTCCCAGCCATGCAAAGACTGCTCAGTAATACTGGACATTAGGGACCGCTTATGTAATCCATAATCCAACATTGAACTTATTGAGCTAATATGATGTGACTAATCACAGCTCAACATTTGGGGAATTTTTATCGCCAGACGCTGCGCACGCATGATTATTCATTCATATACTGTTTTGTCAGATGATAGAACAGAATCGCTGCAGGGAAAGCGAGAAGAAACACACAGAGCCGGCTGCAGGCAACCTCTAACACTTTCTGAATTCCTGGTTTGTTTGCCTCTGTATCTGGGTAACACACTGTCCCTTCAAATGACGGGAACTTGGCCCTGCTGGGTCTGCGGTATAAATATCCAGCTGCTCTCTCACCCTCTATTTCTCTGCTCTCTCTCTCTCTCTCCTTTTGTGTTTTTCATTGTGTATATATCTCTGTCACCAGCCCCTCTGTGCGTATAGTCTCATTCAGAAAAGGGAGGGACAGCTGGTGTGTACGGGTGAGAAAAGAAGTGTCCCGCAGTCACATAAGGACCTAATGCATAATAATCTATGCTGAACATGTAACTTTCTCTCCTGGGGGAGGTTGAGCAGCTCTGCAGGTTGCCCCCTGACCCTCTTATAGCTGATTTGTGAAACCAAGTATCCCCTCCAGCTTAACGAATGTCCCATTTAATACAGCTCTCTCCTCCCCACCCCTCCTCTGCCCGCAGGGAGGTCGCCCAGATTGACCAGTTCCTTCAGGAGACGGCGGCACGTGAGGCCAATGCTAAGGTGCGCCTGCAGCAGTTTATCGAGGAGCTGCTGGACCGAGCCGACCGCGCCGAAAAACAGCTGCAGATCATCAGCAGCTGTGGCACCACACCGAACGGCAGCCTGGGACGCTGCAGCCTGCAGGCCTCGAAGGGGAACGGACGGCAGGTTGGTGTCTTTGAATGCACCGTTGTGTTAGAACGCACTGTTACAAGCACAATGCACTGCTGTGGTTTTCTTATGTATTTTGATGATGATATTTCAAACAGGCTTTCAGGACAAGAAATCATAAGACAGATAAAAATTGATTAAATATACACATTTTATCCTGATCAGAATGAACTGCATGAATACATAAAGCAATATAAACATGTTAATATGTGATCACATGATCTGACTTTGTAATCACATTGACTCAATGTTACTTTTTTATTACTGTTTTTCTTTTAAAACATTTAGAATTCTGCCTTTACTACCCAAAGCTCCACTTAAAGACTGCATAAAACTCCACTTCCCGCTTTGTGACAGTCCTTAACAGAGCAGCTTTTTGCTGTTGAATAGTGCATAAGCATTGATTATATTGAGTAATGTCCCTGTAATGCACCGCAGGTCGAAGCCCTAATAGACTTTGAGATGCCTGCGATAACAAGTCTACTCTGCTGTGTGACGCCAAAGGGCAGAAACCGCCCATTTTTCATACATCAGCAGATGAAGTTCAATAAGCTGTAATTGGATAAATAGGACGGAAATGTGATGGGATGCAGAAGGAGTTTGTTTAATTTAGGCTGGGATTTTAAGCTTGTGGTTTGTAGTTGAACAGGAGATACTGAGAGTGTGTTCAGGTGTGTTGTGGACGTGCGGTTGAGCTATTTTAGGTCATTTGGCTAAGTTGTTTTCTCCTGCTGAAGGAGTCAGACAGTCGTTACCGTCATGTCGACTGCATCAGCAAGACTTATAAAATTTTCAATGCAACAGCAACTTGAAGGTGCATATGATATGAAATGCTTTAATCACTGAACATAGGATTAAGTTGTCCAAAGCATTTAGCATTTCATATTTGATTACAACTGATTACACTACATGACCCCAAAGTATGCGGACACACAGTCATGACACTTTTACATATGATGTTAATCACCTGACTTCTAAGTCATTCATATCCTTCACTCTCATGAGGAAGCTTTCCACACACATTTGTAGCCTGGCTGCAGGGATTTATTACCGTTTTAACGAGAAGAACATTTTCAAGATTGTGCACGGTTAAAGTCAAGGCCTGTATATTTAAAACATTTAAGAATTACGCCTAAATTGCTGAGGAGTATAAAAAGTGCAGAATGAGACACATTTATCAGGCGGCTCACACAGCTTATTAATTTGGTGGTAGAAATAATAGAAAGTTAAAGTATGTGGGTGCATAAGAAACCTAAAGCGTTTAGGAAATTAGTCGCCGATAGATGAGGTGCTTTGAAGAAAAGATAAGAAGAAGTTATGGCCACAACAGCAAATACACACAGATGCATGGAAAGTGATCACAAACAAAATTAAAGTTTGTGCCACAATGAAAGAGCGTGACATCCCATCACATGTCCACACCTGACTCAAATGCACAAATGCAATAAAGCTTCTTGATACTGAAGTGACTAAAGATGTTTTTTTTCAACTATTCCAAACACGTAACAGATGCTGTGTAGTTCTATAAGATCTTCTCCTAACCATCCTCAAGTGATGATGGAACTCTCTCAGATTTTGCAGCATTTTTGCTTCAAAAGTAATTAGATAAACGGCTTTTATCCTTAAGGAATTTAAGTAAAACTGAGGGACTTTCATCTTGCACTTGATTCCAAAATAACACAGTCTAGTCTTTCTACTACAAACTGGGAAAACCATGTCTTTATGCACCTTTTTTCAACTAAATATTGTGCTAAAGGAGGAAAAGGCCTTCCCAAACTGTTGCCACAAGAAAAATATATTGTTATATGTGTTAGTAAGATTTATTCTAATTATAAGTAAGGGACAGATTTGTTGCACTGATGACAGTGCAACAACATTAAGACAGTGGACTAGCTGTCATTTTCAGCCCTTGTCAAAGTCCCTCAAATCCTTATTTTTGCCCATTTTCCTGTTTCACACATCACATCAAATTCAATAACTTACTTGTCACTTGCTGCCTAATATATCCCACCCTGTGTTGTAACAAGGTAATCAACATTATTCACTTCCCCTGTTGGTGGTTTTAATGTTGTGGCTGATGGGTACATCTTTGCCTATTTAATGTCTGCATTATTTTGTCTTGTAATTAAGTGGTACTCGCTCACAAAAGGATTACAAGAGTCGTACTTGTGTTTACAAGGTGAAACAGGAGACTTGATCCGTGTCTGTTTAGCATTCAGCATCAAAGCTGTGGGAACAGTGAAGTTCTGCCGCAGAGTGCATCCTGACCAGAAAGGGCTCTTGCATAAAAAGCTGCCACTTGCTCCGGAAACTGGAAATTTCAGCTCTTTGTCTCCAGGCTTAATAGTTGAACTGTGTCAATTTCCCCCCTTTAGTTTGCCTTATTACACAATGATAAAATATATATATATATATATTTAAAAAATAATAGCAGGCAGTGTCTGATCTTAAAATGTCACTTATTCAAATTATTATCCAACACTTGTAGAAAAAGAGGTGACCTGTTTCACATCGCACAAATGTGTGTGCTGCCATGGAAACCAGTTCTTGCTCTCGCTCAAGGTTTCAACATGATTTTTAATCAGATGTGATGCTGTGCAGATCTGCCGGAGAGAAATTCACTGTTTCAATTTTGCATATTATTTGAGCGATACCGAGGAAAAAAAAGCTCTTGACCTCAGATCGCCATCACTGAGTGCACACACATTGTTAGCATCCCCAGCTTACTGACTCTATACAGTCACACAGAACATTAAATTATGTAAGTGATACCGCTTTGGTTATGTTACGAAGGAGTAAAAGTACACTGAAATAGCCTTTAATTCTCCTGCACACAAGAATCACATCCCTGATTTTTAAAATGATTCTCTTTCCGTAGCTCTATTAAAAGGCCATTTGACCTGGGATTGACCTGAGATTCTGCCTAAATTTAGACGTTCTCTCTTTGGATTTAAGCAGCGCTCAGTCTCATGTCTGCATGCTTGTGCACTGTGAATAATCAACATGACAAGTACAAGTGTGGAGTCGCACACTTGTTGGCACCTTGTTACACTGTCAAGGGAAGCCCAGAGATGTCACCCAACCAACCACGCACCTTCACAGCCATCGCTCTATACCGCATCAGCAAGGTCGCCCTTATCTCCTAGGAGACAGGTTTCAGAGCCACTGATGTATTTTAGGACCGACAGCGAGAGCAGGGATGGATGACTGTGTTTCCTGCTCACTCTGTAGCTCCCTCTAAGCTGAATGTGTTTCTTCACAGGCAAAACAGCTTTAATTAACCGAATGTGGTGTTTTGCAAATTTAGATATGTAACAGAGAGAGGACAAGAGGTAGAAATAGAGAAATACTTGAGTTTAGACCGAACTTAAGTGACCAGATTGGAGTTTTACCTTCAGATAAATGTCTTTTATTCCATCTATTTCTTGGAAACGTGTCCCCGCTCTGCCTTCACTGCAGTCTGTCCAGGAAACCGAGCCATGGATGGTGTTTGCCTGTTTCCTCCGTGGTCCATTTTCACTGGCAGTAAGCCAGAAACAAGCTGTGTGAGTAAAGCAGAGAAAAAGAGAAGCAGAGCGGGAGTGACAGTGTCTGTGTTTGTGCACATTTTCGCTCTGTGGCACGTCGCCGGTCTGGTACACAGAGTTCCACCTGGCGCCGCTTCACACACACACACACACACGCACACACACACACACACGCACACACACACACACACGCACACACACATACAAATATACGCACAAACTCTGCACACAGCACACTTCAATGCACAGGCAGCTCTGAGTGATGTGTGAAAGAGTGACTAGGAGGATTTTGTTCTCAGTCAAATAGAGAGAGAGCGAGAGTGCGATTGCACACCTACAACAAATGCGTTTAAAAATTCTCACCTGCTTCTCTCGGAGCCACAACCAAATATTTTCGCCTGCAGGAAAGGAAATGCTGAGTTTCTTTGCAGTTTATGGATGGAAATATTGGTTGATCAGTCAGATTTATCCAAAATCATCTGGCAAAATAAAACAAGACATCTTGATTACTAAAAGGCGACACTGATGCAGGATATTCATGATTCTGGTGATTTTTCTCCTCAATGTTTTCGTCTAGCATCATTAATAGATGTATTTTCTGTATAAATTTTCACTTATACAAAATAAATCTTAAAATCCATAATAAGTCTGTCATTTTTGTTCCACAGAAGATGATGCATTCTGTATTTCATGATTCTTCCTACCATCACTTTTATGTCAAATTGTCAACTTTAGATACAAGATTTTAACACAACCTAGAATAGAATAGAATAGAATAGAATAGAATAGAATAGAATAGAATAGAATAGAATAGAACTTTATTGATCCCTTTGGTGCAAACCTCAGGGAAATTGTTGAAATTGAAATTGTTCAACCTAATACAAGAGTCCTATTAAATGTGTTGTGCATAGTAATGGTCACCTGAGCTTCGTCTGGAACCACCAGTAGGTCAAAATCTTTCTGTTTCCTTGACAAGGTCTTAAAAACCAGTTACTGGACTTACTTGAAATTTGCTGCATTAATTTCGTAAACCTCAGAGAAGGTATTTGTAGGTATTTGCTCAGTTTTCCCCAAGTGTCAAAATAGGGCCAAAACAATGTAACTGTAATATAGAAAATAAATGTTCCTATTGTGTTCATGCTCCCTGAGTACTTTTTGACATTTTACTATATTTTTGTCTGGTGTCGTCAGCAGTGTGCACAAACTTTTTCCTCTTGTCTAATTGTCTCTGACTGATTATCATTTGCTCAGATGCTCTATTTAGTTGTACAGTATAAATCAGGAGACTGAAATTAGATGAAACCACATCAGTAAACCATGTACAGTTGTCCTTAATGAAAAGACCAATTGTCTGTATTGTGTTCTGTTTGACAGAAATCAGAGCTGTCAGAGCCTCTTTGAAATACATCTGGAAAACTTTCCCCTGATAAACTCACAATAGGCTGCTGTTTCATTTGATGTGATTTTATTCACTTTCCGGTGGGAATTTGTTAAACAGCCTTCTGTAACAATTGTAACAATTGTAGCAGTGCTAAGTTACTGTGACAATTGTGATAATGATGTATACGGTACGTTGCGCTTGAGTTTATTGTCTTTATCATATTTTGTGCAGTAAATTAGTATTTTCTTCATCATAAAACTAACATAACCATCAAAGGTAGCTATTTGATTGCAATTTGGGGATACATTTCTATTGCAGAATGGGTCTGAGGCTCAGCTCAGGAGATGTAGTAAACATGAGCTCATATTACCATTTCTTTCCTGTCTGTTCTGACTTTCTGTTTTCTTGGTATCTCTCTGCAGAGAAACTCGAGCATCTCTGGGAGCACAAGGGGAATGTACCAGGTGTCAGAGAGACGCTCCTCCCCCAGCACAGGGTAGGTCAGCAGCACACCCAGTCCACATGTGTACACTTGACACAGAGTCAGACCTTTTACCCTGAATCTGAAATGTAGTCCACCTAGACTGTCCCACACAGAGGTTTGTGATAATTTTCTACCAAAACAATCTGAAGGCGTCCTTTCGTTTTTTAAAACTTGTAGAGGCCATTTTTCAGTGTTTCGTGCTGTTTTTAAGAAATTGACAGTACTGTGTTTACGTCTTATTTCTGACATTGACATGCACATGAGATATTCATGTTTCATGTAATGTTGAATACTGTGATATATGATGCAACAGATTCCATTTTGAGTCAGAGAGACTCACTCACTGACATGCAGGTTGGACGTCTCGCTACATGAGGTGTGACTGAAGTATTTCTGGGTCTCTGCTGGAGATTTGCAACACATGGCCCTGCCATAATACTCTGACTAACACAACTGTCATCCCCAGTTGGTATGAGAATGTTTCCCACTGTGACGTCACAGTGAACCTGTCAGGCCTTCCCCTGAATCACTGATGGCACGACACGCACAGAGCTGCCCAACAACAACCTTTTGAATCTTCTGTCTCTGCTTGTTAATGATTCTTAATCAAAGATCAAGTTATTTTTGTCACTGGTTTGTAGTAAAACTTATCTTCTCAAAAATACAATTTTAGTTGGAGTGCTTTATAGATACTGAGCTCACCACGTATTTGCGTATCTGTCGCTAGCGTACATGCGTCAACTTTGCAGCAAGATTTCAGGCAGATGGAAGTTTTTTGCATTTTAAATGTTTTTAATGATAGGTATGTATGTATACTGTACATATATACGGTTGTCCTCAAAAGTATTCACACCCTCCCATTAAAGAAGGAAAAAAGCAGCTGTCACTGAAGTAAGTTGAAATTGTCCAAAGTAATAATGAATAAAAATGTACTTAAATTTACTTTTCATTTCTTTTCTTCTTTTTTGGAAACTCTCGTTTTGGCAGTGTGATTTGGATTGTTAGACTGTTCCTCTGCCGCCAAACTTATGCAGACTGGGAGTTCTCTTGTCAGCCACTATTTTGGTTTATCCACAGGCAGCCATGGTGCATCTATAAATGTCATCATCCCCCCAACACCTTTTGCACTCAGCCAGGCCCAGATCATCACACTCCCACCTCCGTGCCTCAGCGTCGTGACTGTGCGTTCACTGTGGTATTCCCGGCCAGGTTCACACCAAACATACTGGATCCCATCTGAGTCGAACTTATCTTGGGCTCATCTCTCGAGATAACATGCTTCTGTCAGGCTTCTTCTCATGTTTTTGAGCAAAGTTTCATTTTGCAGTTTTGTGCTGGACAGCCAGCAATGGTTCTTTTGCCATTGAGATTGACATTGTGCGTTGTCCTTTACTCCGTCTGAGCTGTGAGACGTAGATTTTGCAGGCAGTGCACTATCCATTTTATCCATGCGTCATTTTAGGACCACTGTGGCTCTGATTACTGGTACTATGGCTCGTTCTGCCCCTCCTGATTACTGCTGCAACTGCGTTTTAACTGTTGTAACCGTTCTGGTGCTCTAAAGTCATTTTATAACCACACTTATGCAATTGAACTAATTGGAAATCACAGATATTTTTAGTTTAGTTTCAATGATTGCAGGTTTTCTAACTTGTGTGTCAGTGAGGCCTGTATTTTTTAATGTAGTCTAGAGTTTTTTTAAAAGGGAAAACTACTTGTAAACTTTCAAGTGCTGCAATTACTGTAAGGTTCTACAATTTTGAATCATTTGACATTTAACTAATATTGCACAGAGGTGTACTCACACGAGACACTTTCAGGACATAAAACCTTACATTCAGAGTCTTATCGGAGTTTTTTCGTATTGATTTATGGATTAATAAACAACACATTCTGTAAGATGAGACAGGAGGGAGTGTGTTATTTCCACTGATTATTTACTCTCCGATGCTGCTTTGCATTCTGGATGAACACTCTGAAATCATTAATTAGCAATTGCTAATCATGAGCTCTCATGATTAAGATCGGTTTATATCATCTCATCTTGCACATTATGTGTACCTATTGATTTAATGTTGACAAAACATTAAGCCTATCGTGTTTATGTGCTTTACAAGAGCTCATTAAACAGCAGGGAATCCCAGATGTGTCTCAGTTTAAACCGTTTGAACCATAAACAGTTCTTGTTTTAGAGAATTTAAAGTCATATCTGTGGCATAACATGTATTTTACCTTCTGTGCATCCTCAATTATAAGTGCTACCTGCAGTAGCAGCGGTGATTCTCTTTTATTTTTCACCTAATGTGCTACATGCAGATGCTTTGACTCTGCTCATTATACGGCGAAAAAGACGAGGGAGCGCTGAGAAGGAAGAAACAGAGAAACAGAAAAATGGCCTAGTTTTCAGAGGCTGATATTTGTAACTGCTCATTACTTGTGTTGGAAGGGAAGTTATTTTAAGTGGCGAATCGGTTTGTATGTACGAAAGCCGCCCTCCTTCTACTATAAATCCTCAGAAATGCAACGGTTCCTTGTCAGTCGCACAGTATGCTACTATTTGTGGTGCAGTTTGAGCCGATGCTTTGACTTCTGACAAATTAGATACCAACACTGTTGTTGTCCTCAGCAGACCTTGAAGGATGTTTCTCTGTGTAGAAACGACCAAAGTCTTTATTGAGACAATCAGAATATAATCAGAAAAACATGCCAACAAGGAATTTATAGCAAGTCTAACAGTGTCCCTGTGATGTGTATTTGTCAGAGACTTGTATGTGCAGGATGGCTAGATTAAATTATTGCATTTAAATTCAGTCATATGATGGTTTATGTGTCAAGTGGAAGTGTCTTTGCAAAACTGGATGGATAGATGGATAGATGGATGGATGGATAGATAGATAGATAGATAGATAGATAGATAGATAGATAGATAGATAGATACAGACAGTCAGACAGGCGCTCTCACATGTTACATGTTAAAATCGTGCTGGTAGAAGAGATCAGGCTCAAAACTGTGCTGGTAGTTACAGTTAAAAAAAGAGTATTAAGTATTCTATGTACTCAAATTGCTGAAATGTTGCAGGTTGAGGTTATTCAAAAGTTTAAGAGAAATACTTCTTGGCTCGGCACTGTGACTACTTGGAGTCGTCACTGGTTGCCTGGCATCTTTATGGTGACTGTGTTTGGCCAAGAAACTGCTCATAACCTCTGTTTAAACCACAACCTGTCACTTTCCACTGGTTTTCATGCATAAATTAGTGAACATTACAGGAGTTGGTAGGTGGATTTTGTTACCTTTGGACTGGCGTAGTATTATGAAAGCAGTATTGATGTTCTCTTGGTGCTTTTTGTTGTTGTTATTCAGACTGCAGTGTAAATAGGTATTAAATGTGGAGTGCTAGACTATCTTATAAAATAATCATCATAATAATAATAATTGTTTTTAATACAAATTATTTCTTATTTGCTGCAGAGCATCAGGGAGGATCAAGTCGGTCTCACAGGGTTCTGGAGGTTACGACAGCGACAGCGTTGAGATGCATCCCATGGAGGAGTGTCCCGAGGCCCAGTACTATCACATGCAGTGCCGGCTGGGCGAGGGGGGTTACGACCGCTCCCCTGGATGTGGCTCAAGAAACTGGGGTCTTCGGAAACAAGCGATCCAGAACTGGCAGCGTCGGCCTTACAGGAACAGCACTGAAGGTGAGGAGGGGGACGTATCGGACGTGGGCTCCCGAACTACTGAGTCTGAAGTGGAGATGTGGGAACAAGAGAGAAGAGCTGTGGCCGAAGTCCAGCAGTCCGCTGCGCCTTATCCTCACCACAGCAGGGCGGCGTACCGCCCAAACACAGGTAACAGCTCTATGGGAAGTTGTTCGGAGCAGTACAACTGGTTATTCTTAGCCTTCTACAATCCTGTATCTCACACACTTGTTCTAATCTAATATTCAGCCAGTAAATCAGACACATGGGAGCCAGGATTCACAGGATAAAGGCCTTAAAAATGACTCCCATAAGAGAAGGGACGCATTTGGATCTAGGTCAGGTTGAGTCACAGACGCTGTAACGTTGCAGGAGCTGTGGCACTGACCAAAACTCAGGCTTCAAACGGAGGAGAGGTCCCGGTTCTGCTGCAGACTTTCAAACACAGACATTTCTAAGTTATTTATATAAAGCAACAATACCGCCTAAAAAACACTATTTAAAAACACAAAATATTCAAATAAAAAGCACTTAAATGGTTATAGTGCAATAATAAGTTGCCTTGAATTCAATAAAGGAAACAAAAACTTTAGTAAAGCTAAAATACACTTAAAATCGTCTGGAAGTTTGTTCCATTTGCTGCATATTGACTCAAAGCAGCTTCCCTGTGTTTGGTTCTGACAGAAACAAACAAATAGAACTGATCAGTTTACAGCTTAGGATTGATAAATATTGCTAATCGGCATGCAGGCTAATATGATCCGCAGTGATTAGAGTTGTGATTTAGCCAGCTGAAGTCTTTTCTTTAAGGAGGTGTTTACACTTTGTTTACCAGTGTTTCTGTTATAGACGATAAAAAAAAAAAAAAAGTCATACATTGCTGCAAGTGCTGTTCTCTTCTCGTTCCGTGTGTCTGTGAACCGTCCAATGTTTGTCTGTTATATTGTCTCAGCTCCTTCTCTCATGTTCGTCTTTGCGCTGAGCCAACTTAGACACTCTGCACAATTCAGATCCGCCACAGATTGTGCATTTCTCTGTTAACTTCTCGCCATGCCAAGATCCTTAAACTCACTGCTGCAGCCTTCCATTTTTTTTCCACCTTCTGTTGAGTTTTCTAAATACCAGGTGGACCCAGGCAGTCTGGAAAAGAAGTGGAAGTGGGCCAGAGCTCTATGACAAATTCATATGAACTGCTATGACAGCCCCATTAACTGAAAAGATTTTTCTTACGTAAAATTCAACATGTTACTGGCATTCCTCTGCTCTGACGTAGTTCTCCTTATTGGGAGATTCTCTGCCAGGTCTGATCGGATGGTATGTATCTACAAGCACACCATTTTTATTTTTTTTGTCTCTCTCTCTCTCTCTCTCTCTCTCTCTCTTTTTTCTCAGCATGTAACACACAGCTTGGCTTTTTTAGTTCATTTGGCAATCTTGAGCGTAGGTGGCATGTGTGTGAGAGAAAAAGAGTGAGAGAGAGAGAGAAAGAGGAAGAGAGAGTGAGAGTGTAAGCAATGGTTCATAGCCCTGATGGTTTCGAGCAGACGCCTTCCAAGGCCAAAGATGACATGAGTCATCCAGGAGCAATCTTGCCGGGAGGAACAAGCCAGGCTTGGATTGGACACGTGGTATTGGCCAATAGATAGCAATGGACAGAGTGAAAAGAAGAGAAGAAAAAAAACAATTATGTAATCGCAATTAGTGTCTTGCTGAAGGTTGGCGCCACCATGTGACAGAATGCCTGTTTAACACTGTTTACGTGTACATTCTTTGGAAATTTGCTTTAGAAAAGGAAAGCTTGGTGTTCACATGATTGTGTATAAAATGTGATTTTACAGCTTATATAATGATCATTAAAGGCAGCACAGTTAGGAAGTACTAAACAAAAACCAAGCACAAAATGATAATAAATCAGAAAAACATCTGCAAAAAAAACAAATATGCATGCACAGTAAGTATACACAAATGATGAATGCACATGTGTATCGTATGCATTCAGTTGCCAGTTTATCTGCACTAACCTCCGTGCTAAATAGTTTAAGACTCTTTCTTTTCCTTCCCCACAGGTCGATCTGAAGGGGTCTACAGCAAGCCGTGCCGCCACGAAAAGAGCCCGTCCAAATCCAACGAGGTGATCAGTCCGGAGATCCTGAAGATGCGCGCGGCTCTCTTCTGTATCTTCACCTACCTGGACACTAAAACCCTGCTGAGAGCTGCTGAAGTTTGCCGCAACTGGAAGTTTGTAGCCCGCCACCCAGCGGTGTGGACCAGAGTGCTGCTAGAGAATGCTCGCATTTCTTCCAAGGTTGAACATGTAGATGTTCTGTACAGGTTGTCGCCATGATGTTGTTCAGCTACTGTATTTGATATGTTTTCTTATCTCCTTAGTTCCTGAGCACATTGTCTCAGTGGTGCACTCAGACGCACTCTCTCATCCTGCAAAACCTCAAACCAAGACAGCGGGGCAAGAAGGAAACCAAGGAGGACTACCTTAAAAGCACACGGTGAGACACACATGCAGTAAAAACAGAGACAGATACAGGCAGCGAGTTGCAGCTGCACAGTTTTTCTTATTGCCTAGTCACTCTGAGGTAGTTATTACGGCACTGTGTATTGTTTTGGCTTCATTAAACACACTGCTTTGCAAAGCGAGCGACACACCAAAACGACAGTGATTGATGAGAGGAAACCAATGGGAAGAACGTAAGTGATGAATACTGACATTTTTATGCTGTCTGATTATGCTCAGCATGTAAAATATCAGCCTTCATTTCCTGGAAGAAGACAAGCAGAGGTTTCGATTTGAGTGGGAAAAGTGAAGTTGTTTGTGCGAAGGAGACAGATTATATAACAGAAGGTGCTCTTCGGCTGTGCAGACACCACGGAGACGCGCCGCTTCTTGCATATAGTGCTGCAAACATTACAGGAACATTTTGATAATGTACTCGTGATGGCAGAAGTGCTGCCGCAGCTGAAGTGCTGAAGGACGGAAGAATCACTCGTCTGTTTACCTTTCTTGACGTTTTTATTGAAGTGGCTGTCTGGAAGAGGGTCTGGAGGCATTGTTAAAGGCCACAGGAAGTAACCTGCTGATACTGAAGATTTCTCACTGCCCCAACCTGCTGACTGATCGCTCCCTTTGGCTGGCCAGCTGCTACTGCCGAGCCCTTCAGGCCGTAACCTACAGGTAGACAACCACACTTTTGTTTTTGTTGTCCCTCTTTGCTGTTGATTTTCTTTGGTAAGCACTTTGTGACTTTGTGCTGTAGAGATAGACTTTACTGACTTACTCAGATCCTCTGACCAGTCTGTCCCACAAAAAAAATGCTCAACAATCAATGTGCTCTCAGTTTTATGCCCCACCTGTGTACATAATATTGCAGGTAATATGGACATAATTGTGCACATTTATTTTGTTGCAGGAGTGCCACAGATCCAGTTGGACAGGAGGTGATCTGGGCCCTTGGAGCAGGTTGCAGAGACATAATTTCCCTGCAGGTGGCGCCACTACATCCATGGTAATAAGTGCAGAAATATATAGTATCTCATCAAAACTACCTGTAACTTACATCTGTTTTTATAAGCATAACAAAATGAGTGAATGTGCAATTTAAAAATAACGTGCAATAATCATCAATGAGCAATAACCAGTGATGTGCAATATTCAAATTTGTGCAATAGCTTCTGTGTTCACTGTACTCTGCACTTATATATATGGTGATGGGTTTGAATTTTATTGTATTTTTGCTGTGTTTCGTTATTTTTATTGTTCATTTTATCATTTGTATGTTTTGTATTGCCGTTACCATAAGCGCATCTGAATTTCGTTGTGTATGCCGTGTATACAATGACAATAAAGGGGTCTAATCTAATCTAATCTAATCTAATTAATTTGAACGTTTGTTTCTTTCAGCCAACAACCTGCTCGCTTCAGCAACCGATGTCTGCAGACCATTGGGAGATGCTGGCCGCACCTCCGCGCTCTTGGTGTCGGAGGGGCTGGATGTGGGATTCAGGGACTGGCCTCACTGGGTAAAACGCTGCTCGTAGAATAATAATTCCACTTGTACTTGAGTTCACTCCAGTACTTTTAGCTACAGTGTGAAAATACATTATTCATGAGTGTAATTCCACTACTGCCACACTAAATCGTGAACTTTAGTTACGGACAGCCTCAACTTCGTTAATGTTTTTCTTATATATAATATTTGAATCCAAATCCATATTCTAAGGTGTCTCCTTTTCTTGCTCCTTTTCTGGCTAAATTTCAGTTAAAAAAAATAAAAAAAATCTGCTCATATGTTATTTATAGAAGCATGCATTTCAACTCTACTATGCAAACATTATTTTAACATTTTCCTTTATCCTCCTTTCCTGTGCAGCGAGGAACTGCATGCGTCTGCAGGTGTTGGAGTTGGACCATGTGAGTGAAATCAACCAGGAGGTGGCAGCAGAGGTTTGCAGAGAGGGTCTGAAGGGCCTCGAGATGCTGGTGCTCACCTCCACACCGGTCACTCCAAAAGCCCTGCTCCACTTCAACAGTGAGTGTGAAACCTGCTCCGTACAATACAGCGGAGCCACTGATCCCGCATCACATGCTTCACATACTGTACAAGGGAAACCTCAGTCCTTTTTCTTTTTCATAAATGTACGTACAAGTTTGATACGAGAACATCCAGTTCAGCTGTATATTCCTCCCAATCATGTAGGTGTTTGCCGCAACCTCAAGTCCATCGTGGTTCAGATTGGTATAGAAGACTACTTTGAGGACCCCAACAGCCCCGAAGCTAGAAAATTGTTTGATGAGATGGTTAACAAGCTGCAGGTAACAGCACCTTTGTACACGTTTTAGTTTGACTGACATGTAGGTGTTTTAGCTGGTGAAACATACAGTACAATTCATTCTTAGATCCCCAGTGAGATGAGTTTAAAAGGCTTGCTATATTTAAAAAAAAAAACAAAAACGAAATTGCACCATTTATTAGTGTCAGAAAGTGTAAAAATGGAAAGAATCCGTTAAGTCCTTGAACCCCATCTTTGATGTGCCGTTTCCAGTTATCCAATTCTAAGCTTTAGTTATAGTGCCTCATTTAATAGTTTTCGCTAAATAAAGAAATTCCTCCAACTGGATTCTGTAAAAGACACAAAAAGTTCTGGACTCAGTGCAACTGCTACAGCCCCAACTGTAAAAATGTGACTGCTAGAGGTTCAGAGAGGTAACTCACAAAATCAAACTGCAAATAAGCTTTCTCATGTGCAAGAAACTTCCTGAAACTCATAACCTTTATTCTTATGCCCCAGTCAGGATAAAGTTTCAGTGTTTAGATGAGATTATTTCCCCATCTGTTTTGTAGATGCATAAATATTATTTTGTGTGCACAGTTGAATGAAAGAAAGATGCTTTTTTTTGGCTGCAATGAAGTCACACTTTGGTTACTGTTTTGTTTATTACACTGCCATTCACAGTAGTGTTGACTCTTTGAAGGTAATTACTAACAGTGAGGTTAACTTTGTTAACAAAGGTCTGTAAAGCCCTCTCAGGAATTTTTTTTTCTGTTTTTAGTCATCTTGTCCTTGGTATTCTTGGAGTTTTGCACCGCTGTTTACACATAACTAACAGTAAAGCCAATAGTTGCTTAGTGGATACGATGCTTCTATTTTTGTCACAATTACATACCATTTAAACCATGACTCAGTCCTTGAAGTCCCAGTGGTGGTTGTTTGTGGACGTACTGTTGCTAACTCACACAAGCAGAGGCTTACTGCGAGAGGCTCTGTTCATTCTTAAAAACTAACCACAAACAGAGATTTAAAAGCTTTATGCCTCCATGGTGGTTTCAGTTGTGGCTGAAGGCAATATTATTTCAGGCTGTCCGTTCCACCCTCATAAATATGTGAAGTCACTGTGACCTCACAAAACATGTTTTTGGCCTTAACTCAAGAATTCACAATCCAGCTATGACAAAATGTCATAAAAATGTCTGTTTGGATGAAAGGATGAGGTGATGATATTTCATATCCAAAAGGTCAAAGGTCAAGTCTGCACAGGCAGCGATGTAATCTGTAACTTGACTGGCTGGCAGTTGTTTTAGTTTGAAACTATTTCTGTAGAGGTGAAGCTCAGGGAGCAACACTGTCATCCTTAAGCTGCTGCATCTCCGGACATTACGTATCGTACACACGTAATACCAATGGAAGATGATAAAAAAAAATATGATAAGGAAGTTGGAAATAGAATATTCTGTATCAGGCATTAGGCTGCTGTGCATAATATCATGCACAGAGAAAATGAAGATGTTGATTTCCCTCTCTTCCCTTTTCTTTCAGGCTCTGAAAAAGAGACCTGGCTTCTCCAAAATCCTCCATGTGAAAGCAGACAGTCTCTGCTAACGTCTTTTATGCAGATTCGTCAAGTCTTGGAGAGGTGCCATCATGGCTCCAGTCAATCAAAAAGACCCAGCTGTTTTGAGCCTACTTCCTGGGGTTGAATGCGTCTGCAGCACCAACAGAAACAACAGAAGATCACTATGATGAACCAGGACAGAGGCTGAGTTTGCATATTCCAGAAGTACAAAAATGAAACAGAAAAATTCCTTTTGAAATCAATATGTCCTTAATTTTTGGTTAGACCATTGGACCTACGATGGCACTGTGTATCAGACGAAGGGCCTGTTTTAAACTTTACAAACTCAAAGAAACAACTATCAGATTCCTCTTTCTCAGTCGTCTTTTGCTTTCACCATAAAAGTGGATTGAGTTGTCGCACAGAGCCAGATCCATTTCTTGAAATGCCTGGAGTCAGGTGGCAGCGCTGTATTTTAACTGTCTGCATCTATGTTTGATGTAGACCTAAGAGGACCTTCACACAGCACCAACAGCTCACGGGCAGGAACACATTAAAAAAAGCAAACATACTTTCCTCAGAAGTGCATAAAATGGTGGCAGGTTTCTCAAGAGATCTTCACTTCTCTTATTCAAGGGTAAACAGGAGCTTTATGTTTGTGTTTGCGCAGATGAGTGAATGCATAAATAGACTGATGGAGAATTGAATGGGTTTCATTCAGCCTGTCCTGCACTACTGCACGCTGAAACCGGACTATGGACAACTGTGAACACTTACTGCTTCCACTCATAACAGAAATGTGCTGCACCAGCTCTAGGCATTGCGGAGAGAGCAAAGGACAGGACAGCCTCCCTGCAACACACAGACCCTGACAGTCTTCTAGAAGACACTGCATGGCAGCAATGCATTTTGCCTCTTCTACCATCCTCTGCTTCCTCATACGAACAAAAAAACCATGTCACCAATCTTGGATTCAGCATTTTTGATCATTGTAGTATCTCTGGGCCTGTTTGTCTTGAGAGAACAGGATGCAGTATCTGATATTACTGGTGCCATTCGTGACGGTGTCTGTCCTCATTCCAGTGAGCGTTTTCTCCGATGTGCCATTATTGAATGAAGAGGGACCACGTAAGGCAGATGTTTAGTTGCTTCAATCGAAAGCAACTAACATTGTAGGAGTTGGATTTGGGTGTAAGCAGCTCTTAAGGTGTTGTGTTTCATATCGTACAAAGTCCCCGGGTGTATACAGGTGTTGTCGTGTTTGTATGTCATCTGAATTTCATACTTTACCATACTAAACTGTGCCATTCCTATTTATAGGGCTTGTCCTGGCCGAGCCCTTGTACAATCCTAATTTATAATCATCAGCTGACATCCTCTGCCTCCCTCTGCTGGTGTTTCCATGCACTTACATAGCTGACACCCAGCTAGTATGACACTTCTACCCTTTCACAGGGTGGAACAAGTATCACCTTCGCTGTTTGGCAGAGCTCAGAACCAAGGGATCAGGTCTTCAGTGTCACCTTCAAATTAGGCAAATTGATTTGGCTACAGTTTAGTGTACGCTGCAGAAATTCTCAAGAAGTATGAGTAGCAATACCTGCGGCGGTGACTCTGACTGTACACGCATCTGTACGGAGTTGCACTGATTTTTTACATCCAGATCAGTTCATACAATACTAATCAGTCTGTGAAATCGGTAGCATAGTATGTTCCGTGGCTCTGGAGGAGCTTTGGTATGAAAATAATTCTTGTGATTTGGTGGTAATCTCAGCTTGTAACTGAAATCCTGGGATATAAATTGTGGGTGTGGAGTGTTATAAATGTGGGTGTTTACCAGGCATGAAGGGCAGCACAAAAAACTGTATTATGCAGGAGCAGGATCCAGCGTTTTTTGTTTGAAACTTTATGCATACTATGGACCAAAAGTCAAGATTTCTCTCATTCCGCTGCACTGATTTTTAACTCGAGTCCCCCAAACTCTATCTAAGTGCAATATTGAATTGCTGGAGCGGCTCTTCAAGCAGAGCTATTACAAGATGTTCACAATCATGCACAAAGTTTTATGACAAAAAAATAAATCACGCATCAGGCAGAACATCACTTTACACGCTACACATTTCCAGCAGGCTGCTTACCTTTTGCAACCCAACAACTGGCCTTGTCTCCACCATCATCAGTGCGAGGCATTTAGAAGTGCCAAGCAGGCGTCTGTCCTGTAGGTTCTATAACATTTAGATGAAAAAAACAACTCACTAATAAATTGAGGCTGCTGGCTGCTGGCTTCGGTCTCCACTTCATCATCAAAACTATTTACGAGGACTTGTGTAACTGCATATTGTAGTGATGATGTTCCAGGTCAATATGTGAGAACAGTCGTGGACGTCCATATCTTCATGTTCTTCCGATATTGCATATTATTATCCTACACTGGTACCAATTGTCCGCTCGGTTTTTATTTAAAGGAAACAGGTTTGTGGGAAAGGTGTAAAACTTTGCTGTCACAATAGAGAAAACACAAAGCACTTGTCGATTTTGAGTTTTAGACAATCCTGCCTTCGTTATCAGCTACTCTGTATATAATGTTTGTAAAAAAAAAAAATTATATATAACAAAATCAAGAAAAAAAATGACCAACATTTGATGTTATATAATACTAAGGTCATACTTATGAGTGGAAAAGGTGAAGTTTACAGGTCTTCATTCTGTAAGCATTTTCTCTCCAAAGCTGAATGAAAGATAAACATAGAGAATTATATTATGTATAACAGTAGTGTTGAAATTGCAGTTGTGTATTAGATACTTTATATTAAATGTGCATCAGAGTCATATAGAGATGGAAATTATTTAAGAAGAGGATAAAGATGATAATTCAGCTATTTATTTCTATAAAAAAAAAAACGAGCGATGTGTATAATGTTGGCATGTTTGTGTTCACGCATCAATCATTAAGTTGCCTTCTTAACTGTTCTGCTACTGTGGCAAGAAAATTATTAGATGTTTAAAGAGCTTTGATTGCCTGCAGGTTAATAACGTTTCTCTTTATTTGATCCAGTCTGTTGTTGCACTAGTGAGAAAAAAAAAAAAAAAGATATTTCAGATGTTTATTATAAGAGTGTTGTTTTTAATGTTCAGCTATTTCTCAGTATTTGACAAAATATGATGCACTTTTTTTCCTGAACACTTTTACCGGCCCGTCGGTCATCGGTTTAGTCAGAAGCGACACCGGTTTCTGCCTGGCGACGTCTTCTGATGTGGTACAAAAGAAAAAATATAAGGAACTCTTCTCTCACGCGGTAGGTTCTGTGGGAGGAAGATTTTGGAAACACGCTGATAACATACGAACTTCTATCAATGAACAGACGTACAGTTTGTCTCTTTTCTCTTACACCATCTCTCTCATATCTCGCATTGGTTGGGAAGTTGAAGATTGAACCTGATTCAACTACATTCAAGTGCTTTTTTAGGTTGCCAATATGACCTTATGCTCACCTTTTTGTATTTGTTACAGTTTTACTTTTGCGTCACACTGTAATTTTCATGCTCACACCAACGGTACATTTGCTTTATTGTGAAATATGACCTGCTGAAGGTGTGACAGAGCCTTTGTGCTCTGAACCTGCAGATCAGAGGTGCCAAGTATGCCGGAAAGATTTATTAATTTTTGGCTTCTCTGTTTTCTGCATCTCCAAATGTCAGCCTGACTAATTTCTAATTTATTTTATTGATTTAAAGTCTGAAGCATCACCTCTGAACCAAGGTGCTTCCTCATTCCTCACGTTTATTTCATTATTTAATGTTTTCTTGTTTTGTTTTTTTCACATCATGTGTCCTCTGTTGCAGGTGTACCAATTGATCACAGTGTGCAATAGAAAAAAACAGTGTCTGAGCGTTCATGTACTTCTCTGTGCATCTTTTATGTATGAATGATTGTACTCTGCCCATTCATCAGAACAGTATTTTACACATTACCTCAACACTTAACTGGGCAATTAAGTGTGCAGTTTGTCTTTGTAATTTTTCATTTTTGACTGCCATCGACAGGTACGCCCGGTGATCCATGAACTTCATCCATTTTTTTGCTCCGGCGACAAAATGACTTCTGTCGCTGCAAAAACACTTTCCCAAAAGATGATCAGCCTTCTATGATGACTGCAATAGTTGGAAATGTTTTACTACTCATTTTCACTCATTTGTTGTCATCAATAAAAATTGCTTTAAATTGTACTTGCTCATTTCTTTTGGTACTTAAAAAATAAAAAAATAAGATATCCGCAGTCGCAAGACATGGCTAACCTGCAAGAAGGCCAAAAACGTCAAATACGGAGAAATTGTCACACACTTAAGTTAAATACAGTTAGTTTTAAATGAAACTGTGACTTCTGTGATCACGAAAAGTATAAGTCCAAAAATGTGTATATGATACCTCTAGCTCTGAATAAGAACACTTTATTTGTAGCAACAAAAGAAGCCAATAAAAGGGTTAAATACGAATATACAAATGAGCATAAAAACAGGGAAGACAAATGTACTCTGGTCACAGTAAAAATTTGATTATAATGTTGCTCTTCAACACATACATCACGACTGTGTGCCTGTGGTTTGTTTTGAATGTAGCCTGCCCCCTGCTGGCTGTAAATTGATAAACACAGCTTTAACAACACATTACATTATTTGCTGATGTAAAAAATAATGACGGTCTTTAATTTTTTTTCAGACAAAATGTATGCACACCAACTTATAGTCAATCAAAAATATTGTGAACCTATATCATAAAAACATTTAAATCACAATTTCTTGGTACTTATTTCTCAGCATCCTCTTTGTTTGTTTCTGTTTGTGATGACAGCAGTCAGTGTACCTAGATGTTCAATCACACATGAGAGGAAAGAACAATAATGACAGAAAAGTGCAGCGTTGCGAAACACCAGGCAGGCGAGATGATGCGGTGCTGACGTGGTTACCGCTGCTGTTGTTTTGGTTGATAACCGCATTCAGAGCGCTCAGCTGCGCGTCTTAAAGGAAATAACAAGAGGTGAAGTTGTATCCACAATGCACAAGCAGCACAAAGCTATTTGTATTTGTGATCTTCATCATTCTGTTGAAATAACCCACCTGAAGATTGAAAGAGTTTTTTACTCCAATAATAACTTTTGGTCAACTCAGCTTTTCCTCCTCCTTATGTCAGAGTTTGGGTGTTTTGGAGGGGATAGTTTCAATTAATCACAGAGAATCACAACTAAAATTAAACATATTTCCTTTGTGATGCTGAAAATAGTAAAACTGCTTTAAAAAGAAAAAAAATCCCAATGAAAGTAAGCACAGATTTTTGTATTTTTGTTATTCTTTCAGGAG